GGAGTCCCCGCTGGTAGGTACTACCCGACAGTGCTCAGCTCCTCAGTTACTCTAATGCGCCTTCCCTCTGATAAGTCCTGGAGTCCCCACTGGTAGGTACTACTCGATAGCGCATGGTGTCCCAGTTACTTTAACTTGAGCTCTCCCTCTGGTAAGTCCTAGTTTGCCTGCTGGCAGCTGATGGTCCTCTCATGCCCTTGTTTATGATCACACACCCATTAAGCTCTAGAGACAATGTACAGACTGGCACTGAGCATGGCACACAGTGTCAAGGGCACCTTGGGCCAAGACAGCTTCCTGCTAGGTGGCCTTGTGCAATCCTGCTGACAATAATGGTAATATGATAATATTAAATCACATCTAGCATAATTTTCAACTACTGTCACAAGGCCTAAATTTTATCTTGGCTAGGTATAAAAAGGAATACTTCTGAAAGATACTTAACTAGTTTATAGTCAGTGAGATACTTTCATGGTTCAGTGTTGCCTCATTCTTGATAATCATAAAACACTTCAGCTGATCTCAACTCATTTCAATGACACTCCATGGCTCTGAAGCACAGCTTACCAGCACCTTAATTGGCAGCGTAACTAGGTAGAGAAAGGGCTTCCTTGTCAGCCTCATTAAGCTGTCACAAATGGGAGTAGCTTCAACTCCTTTCACTTAATTTTCTCTCAATTTAACATAGGTAGTAAAAGCAACCTATAGGTATTCTATAAATCTTAAAAAAGCTTTATATCCTCTGATTTTTTTTTAATTTCAGTACACTAGTAGACATGCTAAGTTAAAAAAAACTGGCAACTATTACTTAAAACTTAGAGTAGATGTTAATAATTATAGTCTACTCTAATATTAGGCACTCTGAAATAAGATGTAAGAAAATAAATGAACAATAATTAACTCCTGATATTTCGTAAGGAATTTTAAAAGACAGCCAGAGGAAGAAGGTAGGAAAACACAGGAAATGAGGGTAATGACATAGTGACTTCTGAGTCAACAGTAATAATGATGAATGGCTGCTTACAGCTGCAAACTATTCCAAGCATGAGACGCTATTTTAAGTACTTCATATTAACTTATTTATTTCTCGTAATGCTCTTTAGAGTAACTACTTTTAGTATTTCCATTCTACAGATAAAGAAATGGAAATACAAAAGGTTATATAACTGGCTCAAAGATCACTTCATTCTCAAGTGTGCAAGCTAGGACATAAGCCCAGACCAGTGTGCACTGTGACCAGACTCTGTTGTCACATCACTATACTAGAGACAGCAAACTAGAGATGTTTCCCCCTAAAGGTGAATAATACTATGCTGGACCGTATCGTGTCTGATATTTAGATTTTCACTTTAGCAATTTTTCTACAACATTTAATATGCTCCCTAAAGCAAAGTGTTGAGAGTTCTAAAGTGTGCCATACCTGAGGTTTCAAAATACACCATAGCTGAAGTTCTGAAATGTGCCATACCCAAGTTTCTGAAATATGCCATACCTGAGGTTTCAAAATACACCATAGCTGAAGTTCTGAAATGTGCCATACCCAAGTTTCTGAAATATGCCATACCTGAGGTTCTAAACTTGCAGGGGTCCTCAAACTTTTTAAACAGGGGGCCAGTTCACTGTCCCTCAGACTGTTGGAGGGCCGGACTGCAGACCCTCCGACAAGTTGGCTACTAAGCAAGATAGGCAGTGGCGGCAAAAACACCCAGCGGGCGGGACATATGTCCTAGGTGGGCCACATGTGGCCCGCAGGCCGTAGATTGAGGACGCCTGTAATCTAAAGTGTGCTGTATCTCAGTGAAATGTGCCATTTTTCAGTGAAATGTGCCACACCTGAAGTTCTGAAATGTGCCACACCTGAAGTTCTGAAATGTGCCATACCTGAGGTTATGGAAGGCAGTAACCAAGGCGGTGATCACCGTGATGGACAGAACAAGCATGTAAGCGTAGAACAGCAGAGTATATGAAAGCCTTTCAAATGTATTAAAAGGCAGGAGGCCAAAAGCTTCTTCACACAGATAGAGATTTGCATCAAAATCCCTAGGGAGCAAACGGAAAGCAAAGCACTAAATTCAACACAAGGCAAGGAACCAACATAACTACATTATACGTTTTGTTAAAACAAGTCTGCAACTAATAGCTGAGGAACTACCATGACTTGAGTTTTAAAGTATCTCCCCTTTTAATAGAACATAGCAAACAGATTTTCAATGCAGTTATACCTTGTTGCTCCAAGCCCAAATTTTGCCTTCAGAAATTTAAATATGTGTTCATCTGACTTCAGGTTAAGGATTTTCTATCAGGGAGAGAGAAAAAATTGCTATTAGTGTCTTAGGCATGGTTTCCTGATCATTTCCCATTGAATATGTACATTTGGTGCCCAATTTCATAGGGGAGAGTGTGTGTGTGTGTGTGTGTGTGTGTAAAATTAGTAAGCGTTTGCAGTAGTTCTCAGAAGTAAGGAATTCTAAAGCAGGAAATTTCAAACTTCCTTCTTTCCCTCTACAACCCCCATTTTAGCATAATCCTTTACTCAAAAAATATCTTATACGTAAGTTAAATATGCAAAATAGATAAAGGATGAGCTTTTTTGGTTTTAGGGAGAGGGAGAAGGAGAAGGTTGAAGCACAGTAAATACAGTTATTCAGACCAGATAACCAACAGCAGGATGGTCTGAAACCTTAGACGGAGAGGCAGCCCACAAGGCCTGTTCTGCTTTGGGGTTTTTAGTTTAGAAACAACTGGTGACACAATTCAAGACAGTGAAGACCCTCAAGGGTAGAACAGACAAATGCTGGTGTTCATCATTAGTAATTAAAATTTTAATTCACACAATTTTCTTTTCAATTTACAGCTCACAAAAATCCGTATAACAAATGGTGAAGAAATTATAGCAGAAGGAAAATGAAGATAGGAAAAAAAATAAGATGAAGCCAGAACTGGGGTTAGTTCACAAAATATATTCCATAGAGATAAGCCACAAATACGGTCTCCCGCTTCTGAGCAGTAAAGGCCAAGAGGGAGATAAACGCATGCGTGTTACCCACAGGGTCACATGAGTAGACAGACCAGCTGCTCAGAAGGGAGCCTACCAGTTCTGGAACTGAGGCTGGAGAGCAAACTTTCCCATGGGTACAGTAACAACAGTCAGGAGTTTCAAACACTATTCTTTCTAATTCTCTCACTGCAGGTCACTGACAAAATGCCAAGTGTAATCTAATAGATGTTACTCTTAGGGAGCCAGAAACCAGTGGTCCAGGGATGCAGGCTCTGTTGTCTTAATCTGAGAACAGACCACTGAATACGCAGAGTGGGCAAATGGATGAACTGCATATCTTTCAGCCAGTCTTCCAGAAATGCTGACTGTCCTGCTCAAATAAGCTTTTGACAAGTTTTGAACTGCACAGAGTTTAAGAGCACAGTGACAAGGACCTGGAGTAAGGCGTTTAGCATAGCTGACTAGGTGAAGAGCCTTTGTTTTTCTTTGACAGTTGATAGGAACAAGGGCTGTGACTGTCTGTAGGGAAAGACCCTGTTCCACAGACATCTCCTACCCTGAGACCAGCCTCCTAGAAGGGCAAAATGATCTGAAGAAATCATAGTATTTTTGCTCCAGCATAAAAATAAAAGGGACATCATGGTCCAAGAACTATACTGTTAAGTAAAACCTGTCCTCAAAAAACAATAAAAAATAAAAAATAGAGCCTGTAAAAAATGAAGCATGTTAAACTAAGGAGAACCCCTAGGGCACTTAAAAAATATCTTAGCAAAGCTCCTACTAGACATATAACAAATGGACGCCCGAGCTACTGACTGTGTTATTCTGCTGTTAGGGTTGTTAATTTAAAGTCGGTTAAATGTTGGGGAACATCTATTAAAAATGAGCTCAACTGTTCTTTCTAGCAGACATTAGGTAGTGAGGCCAGTTTATTAACTGAACCCAATAAAAATCATGTCACTTTCTTTTTTAGTACCATAGTGTAGGAAACCATGTGTACATTATGATACTAAAAAGAATTTTTTAAATTTAGAGAAATATTTGTTTAATGCTTTTAAAGTTGAGCTTTAAAGAAGTTTAGTAACTGAAAAGGTGGAGCGCATTCAAGGCAGAGCATTTAAAAAGACTGAATAGAAACCAATGATTAAAATCAACAAAATAATCCTTGTTACTAAGACAAGTTAAAACTGAGCCTTTCAAACTAAAACTGTAACTCTTCAGTAATGCTAACACACTTTATAAAGCAAGAATTTAATCATTCAAAATTTAAAGTTTAAAAAAATCTGGGGGTGGCTGTGCACCCCTGTATACTTGGGAGGCTGAAGCAGGAGGACTGCTAGAGCCCAGGAGTTGAGGCCAGCCTGGCAATATAGCGAGACTCTGACTCTAAAAAATAAAAAGAGTTTAAAAAACTATCTCTAATGCCATAAAGCAATTTAAAAACACATTAAATGCCAGTTTATTAACTTACCTTAATTATGTTGTTGAGAAAAAGTGTCAAACACAAAACCACAAACAAATGTAACAGAAGTTTCCCAATCCTATTAAGGAAGCTTCCAGTTTTCAGATTTTTCTAGAAATTAAAAGATATGTGTTTCAATTCTTTAATTTAATATAAGTTCATAAATACTGAAATGAGATTAAAGATTTATAACATGGGATCATACAACATAAAGGGGAGATACATGGGGAAAAATAGCCATTAGACTAATCTTTATGAGGTTTCATTGCCTCAATACTTCAACTTCCTAATAGTAAATGAGTCCCTGAAAAACAAGCTCCATGAGATGAGGAAATGTGTGCTCGGTTTTTTTTTCCTTATTTTTTTTTTAACATCTTCACAACCAGAGTTAGTTCTGCAATCCGAGTATTGGGGTCTGCCACTGGGAAGCTGCTCAGATAAGCTGACTGAACAAATCATTGTATCATTTATCGTTTAACTCATGTATCACAGATATAGCTATAACCCAACTTATAAAAACTTATCAGTATTAAAAAAGTAAACTGTGATTTTTGATATGTAATAGTTTTCTTATAACCTTTAGGTAACTTTATCCATTGTCAAACAGAATGTCAAAACAGGCTTGGTGTCTGTTGCTCAGTAGTTAGGTGACTGGCCACATACACCACCATGGCTGGTGGGTGTGAACCCAGCCCAGGCCAGCTAAACAACAATGACAACTGCAACAAAAAAAAATAGCCGGGCGTTGTGGCAGGCGCCTGTAAGTCCCAGCTACTCTGGAGGCTGAGGCAGGAGAACAGCTTAAGTCCAAGAGTAGGAAGTTGCTGTGAGCTGTGATGCCTGCCACAGCACTCTACTAATACTTTTTGAGTGAAACTGTCTCAAAAAAAAAAAAAAAAAGAATGCCAAAAGAGTTCAAATACCTGAAGAGTGACATTTATAACTATGATGAAAAGGATGAATGAGAACTAGTATTTTTGATAATCAACTAAAAGGCCTGTTTTTAAAAAAATCTTTGTTAATGTCTATCTATAGTAATTTACTCAAAAGAGTAAATAAAAGGATTTATTCTTCCCAAAGTACAAAACAAAATGGCTTCATGACGTAGAAATGTTTATAGTCCATGAGAAAGGAAATAGGCTTTGTAATAATTTTAAGCAAAAACAAATGACTTTTAAAACTCATGTAAATTTAAGAATTTTAATTATATAATAAAGCCAAAAGACCAGGTCAATGTTTTCATATGGGAAATGTCACATTCTATTCCTATCATTTATTTAGACTCTCAAAATTCTTAAAGTACAGTAAATTTTAATTCAGTTAGAAATGAATAGTAAGGTGTGGAAGACCCAGGAAGAGAGTCACATCTCTGCATCAAACCACTACCGGGACCCGCCAGGTGGAAACACGGGATGAGCCCACCCATCTCACGGCCAGAGTCCCCTCACTGTGGAGTCCAGACACACAAAGGCTAACAGTTTTCTCTTCCATTTCAACTTTAAATCTATGACATTCAGTAAGCTTCTATGGCTATTCCCTGAAGTACGATCCCAAATGTTTAAAAAATATTTGTCAAAACAAAGGGATGGCACAGGACCCCCAGAAGGTTCAGAAATGCCACAGTAGGCACAGGCACTTAAAAAGGGCAAATAACACTGCTCACGCTTTTCAGTAGGAATCAGCTCATGAATTTTTCATAAATTTTCTTTTGTATGCTACATGAAAATATGGTCCAGCAAACTGCACAATTAAAGAGTTTACTTTAAGAAAGAACACAAAAAAGTCCTACCTGAAATTTTCTTGCAATTAATACTGAAAGGTTAAAACTGATAAGCAATGATCCCAGAATCATGGAATTAAAGAACTGAAGAATGCAGACCAGGAGCAACACTGCTATCTGGATGCCGTACAGCCACGTCGCCTGCAACAAGCAGAGGGAGCCGCTGAGCACTTCTCATCAGGAGATGCCCGTACTGGGCGTAAGGGGGATACAACCCAGGTTACCTGGCTTCAAGAAACACAGTCTGGAAAGGGACACTAACACATATGCATACCATGTATTTACGTATATTTTTTTGGTGACAGAGCCTCAAGCTGTCCCCTTGGGTAGAGTGCTGTGGCATCACAATTCACAGCAACCTCCAACTCCTGGGCTCAAGTGATTCTCCTGCCTCAGCCTCCCGAGGTTGAGGTGCCCGCCACAGGTGCCCGGCTATTTTTAGGTTGCAGCTGTCGTTGTTTGGCAGCCCGGGCTGGATTCGAACCAGCCACCTTGGGTGTACGTGGCTGGCGCCTTAGCCACCTGAGCCACAGGCGCCAAGCCCATGTATTTACCTTTTAAGGACAGAATACTTACAATATAACATGAATTAAGGGGCAAAGGAACAGAGATAGCGTGAGTCCAGGAAGAAAACGATGATCTAAGTGGATCTGGGGAGTGGGCAGGTGCTGTCTGTCTGTAATCCTCAGTTTTAAATTCTTTTTCTTTTTTTTTAGTCGCAATCTCACTCTGTCACATTGGGTTGAGTGCCACGTTGTCAAGAACTCACAGCAACCTCAAACTTCTAGGCTCTGGTGATCCTGCTGCCTCAGCCTCCTGAGTAGCTGGGACTATAGGCACCACTACAACACCCAGCTAGTTTTTCTATTTTTAGTAGAGATGGGGTCTCTTTCTCAGGCTGGTCTGGAACTGAGCTCAAGCAATCCTCCTGCCTTGGCCTCCCAGAGTGCTGGTATTACAGGTGTGAGCCACTGTGCTCGGCCTCTCAGTTTAAAATTCTTTTACAGTTATTATTTACAGCAAATAGTAAGTACTTTATGCATTCCATTATGTCCCAGATTTCCACTGTACACTTCAGGGCTACACCATATACACTTCATTTTCTCTGTGCACATGTACGTGCCTAGACCCCCTGATTGGGGTGGAAACTCGCCCTGTGGCTGGGCCTCTCACAGCATGCTGGCAGGCTCATACGGTGGTCAGGGATCAGCAGCACCCGCCCTGGAGTCCTGACTCTGGGGTCAACCTGCTGTGTGAACTTAATGTGGTGCAAGTGAGACGCTATCTCAAAAAAACAGGCTCATCTGTAAAGAGAGATGGTATACCTCCTCAGAGAGCTGCTGTAGGGCTTACAGAAGAATGGGATGTGGAAACACATGGCACATAATAAGCATTCATTAAGGAAAACTCTTGAGGGAGTGAAAACTGTCAACAGGTCGACTCTGAAGGAAGCAAAATGCAACCAACTTGAACACAAAAACAAGAGTCAATACTTTCTGTTTGTTTCCTTCTCTCAAATCAGACTACCCCATACTCAACTGGCACATGAAAAATACTAGTTTTATGGAGCAGCAAATCCGATTTTCCTTGTGGTTTTGTTCTCTCAACCTCAAGGGAAACGAACCCCACCAAGCACTGCAGAGTGAGGCTGCAGCAGCTGAGCACTTCTGTTCAGCCTTCATGGAAACTCAGGGAAACGGATGATCCTAGTTTTCAGGATTACAGAGATAATAACGTACCCTACTGTAGATTTTTAAAAATTTAGAAAAACATAAAAAAGAATCAGCACAGAAAGGTGGACTCTGGGGTCAAAACCTAGTATCTACAGAAATATCTATAGATACCTAGAAATACCTAGAGTATCTATAGAAATAATACTGATTTCATAGCAGTGTACAATATTTCATATATGGCATTTGATAATTCATGTTACACAACATCATTTTCTTGCATCAATGACTGTTCTGTGAAAACTTAAATTTTAAATGGTTTTGTAATATGCCACCATAGGCTGTCATTTTTATTTCACTAGACTGTTGAGGTGTTCTCAGCCTTTTATTATTATTAAATTAACATTATAATCAACATCCATGTTTTGAAACCTCAGGTCATGATACCTGATTAGTTACTTATGTTTGCTCCTTTCTGAATTCTTAGTAGCTACAAGAACCCCACTAGGAACGTGACACTTAATAAATATTAAATGAATGGGCTAGGCGCCTATAGCTCAACTGGCTAAGGCGCCAGCCACGTACACCTAAGGTGGCGGGTTCAAATCCCCAGCCCGGACCCGCCAAACAACAATGACGGCTGCAACCAAAAAAAATAGCCTGGCGTTGTGGCGGGCGCCTGTGGTCCCAGCTACTTGGGAGGCGGAGGCAAGAGACTGGCTTGAGCCCAGAGTTGGAGGTTGCTGTGAGCTGTAATGCCACAGCACTCTACCCAGGGGGACAGCTTGAGGCTCTGTCTTAAAAAAAAAAAAAAAAAAATATTAAATGAATGAACACATTTCCTTAGGAAAGAGTCTTGAAAGGAGAATTAGTGGTTAGAGAAGCAAACGTATTTTCTTCCTTTTTAACAGCCTTATTAAGATATAATTCATATTCCATCAAATGTGCCCCCTGAGAATACACAAGTCATGATTTCTGGTATATGAACAGTGCTGTGCAGTGATCACTACAGTCTAATGTTAAGGAGTTCTCACCACTTCAGAACACTTCCATCTCCATTAGGCGTCACTCCTCGTCACTCTCCTTCCCCCATCCCCTCCCCCACCCCACGTTTCACAGATTTCTATGTTCTGCACATTTCCTATAAGTGGACCAATGTTAAGACAATCTGCAGTCTGTGACTGGCTTCCCTGACTCAGCACCATGCTCTCCAGTTTCCTCCATGTGTAGCACACACATCCTTATTGTGGTTTTGGTTTGCCATTCTGTCAGAGCTGATGAGGTTGAGTATCTTTTCACGTGTTTACTGTATAATTAAGATACACTATTTACTTAGTTAGGGACAGAATCTCACTCTGTCACCCTGGATAGAATGCAATGACATCGTCACAGCTCACTGCAATCTCACACTCTTGCGCTTAAGGGATCCAACTGCCTCCGTCTGCCAAGTAGCTGGGACTATAGGTTTGTGTCCCTACACCTGGCTAATTTTTCTATTTTTTGTAGAGACGGAGTCTCACATTTGCTCATGCTGGTCTTGAAATCCTGACCTGAAGCAATTTGCTTAGCTTGGCCTCCCAAACTGCTCAGGTTATAGACCTGAGCCACCAAATCTGGCCCAATTATGTATCTTTATTTATTTATTTAGTCTTTCGTACATAGATCATAAATACATTTATGCCACTATAGGATTCAATGTGTTGATTATTTGTACAAATTGGAATGCTTACTACCTATTAAACAACATAACCTTCACCACTTTTACCCTATTACAGGATTAAGACATTTATGCTCTACCGGATAGATCCAACTTCTACTTGCAGTATGCTTCATAGGTGTGGTCCCCCTCCCCACCCTCCCTCTACCAACCCGCCCCCTCCCTCCCCTTCCCTCCTTCATCCTAGGCTATAGTTGTGTTTCATTTTTCATATGCAATGTGAGTGATTATAAATTGGTTTCACAGTAGTACTGAGTATATTGGATTTTTTTCCATTCCTGAGATACTTTACTAAGAATAATATTTTCCAGCTCCATCCACGTAAACATAAAAGAGGTAAAGTCTTCATTTTTTAATGCTGCATAGTATTCCATGGTATACATATACTACAATTTATTAATCCATTCATGGGCACTTGGGTTTCTTCTATGACTTGGCAATAATGAATTGGGCTGCAATGAACAATCTGGCGCAAATATCTCTATTGCCAAATGATTTTTGGTCCTTTGGATATACACCTAGAAGAGGAATTGCAGGATCAAATGGCAGGTCTACATTTAGATCCCTGAGTGTTCTCCAAACTTCCTTCCAAAAGGAACGTACTAGCTTGCATTCCCACCAGCAGTGCAGAAGTGTTCCCTTTTCTCTATATCCACACCAACGTCTGTAGTTTTGGGATTTTGTGATGTGGGCTACTCCATTTACTGGAGTTAGATGGTATCTCAGAGTAGTTTTGGTTTGCATCTCTCTGATGATTAAGGATGATGAGCATTTTTTCATGTGTCTGTAGACCATGCGCCTATCTTCTTCAGAGAAACTTCTGTTCATGTCTCTTGCCCACAATGAAATGGGATCACTTGTGTTTTTTTTAGTAATTAGTTTGAGTTCTCTGTGGATTCTGGTTATTAGACCTTTGTCTGATATATAACTTGCAAAAATCCTCTCCCATTCTGAGGGCTGTTTGCTTTGCTTAGTGTGTTCTTGGCAGTGCAGAAGCTTTTTAATTTGATCAGATCCCAGTAATGTATTTTTCATGTTGCTTCAATTGCCCAGGGTGTCCTCCTCATAAAGCACTCTCCCAGGCCAATTTTCTCATGCTTTTCACCTGTACTCTCTAAGAATTTTTATTGTGTCTTAAGTCCTTTAACCAGTGAGAGTCAATTTTTGTTAGAGGAGAAAGGTGTGGGTCTAGTTTTAGTTTTCTACAGGTCACCAGCCAATTCACCCAGCATCATTTGTTGAATAGGGAATCTTTCCCCCAATTTATATTTTAATAGGCTTATCAAAAATCAAAGGACGATAAGTGTCTGGGTTCACCTCTTGGTCTTCAATTCTGTTCCATACATCTACCTCTCTGTTTTTGTGCCAGTACCATGCTGTTTTGATCACTATCGCTTTATAGTATAGTCTAAAGCAGGGGTCCTCAAACTTTTTAAACAGGGGGCCAGTTCAATGTCCCTCAGACCATTGGAGGTCCAGACTGTGGGCCTCGGGACAAGTTGGCAGCAAAAACACCTGGTAGGCTGGATAAATATCCTTGGTGGGCTGCATGTAGCCCACAGGCCATAGTTTGAGGACGCTTGGTCTAAAGTCTGGAAGTGTGATTCTTCCTGATTTGTTTTTATTTCTGAGTAGTATCTTGGCTATTTGAGGTTTTTTCTGTTTCCATATAAAACGAAGTACTAATTTTTCCAGGTCTTTAAGACAGAGGAGCTTTAATAGGGATTGCATTAAATTTGTAAATTGCTTTACGT